ATCCATCTATGGTGAATTTTGGGCACGACGATGAACTAAAGTAAGTGCAACCTATATGTAGAAAATATAAGCTGACTAGGAAATTAAGATGAGAGATCAATAATGTAGTAATCTTAAACATTAGGTACCCAAACAGTAATCTCTGAGTTCTGTGGTTAGGTTAGTGAACCTACATTACTCTATGAAGATATTCAAAGCTGCATAAAATTAACATTAAACCCTGAATATCATAAACGTACCAAACATATTGATATAAATATCACTTATATAATCACTACCTACATTCGAGAAAAAGTTCAAGAAGGAATAGTGTAGTTAAAATACATTCATACAACTGACCAACGAGCTGATATGCTGACAAAATCCTTGCCTACTAGTAAATTTAAGAATAATTTGTTAAAAATTGGATTACACATTTACCTAATACTTCTGTTGTTTATATGATAAACTTTTTTTTTTATGCGGGAATTGAAGGGGAGTGTTGAAGTTAGACATACCTAATTCCTTTTTGTTCATAATATAAATTCTAGGTTATGTTATTATATTACTTATGTTGTTAAAAATGTTAAATGCATCATGCAGTCATGTAGACCATGGTGTCATGTAAATCTAATTATTATTCTTAATTCTTATTATGTATTAAAAATGTTTTATAATAAACTTTGCATTGCAGTTATTAATCAGCAATATTAATTAAATAATTAGTTTTTTTTTAAAACAATATAAAATACAGAGATTTATAAAAATTATTATAGGTACAATTATAATAATATTATTTAATTATTTATTAATATTGATATTTTTATAGACGAAAATTCTTCCAACTCAGAAATTGCGGAACAAAGGGTGGTTGAGATCGGTAAGGATAGATAATTAGTTACATAGTGTTATATTAAATATTTTATAATGTATATTGTGTTCATATAAAAATGATTAAAAAAATAACTGAAGGTAATACACATACAAATACACATTAATCATTTAATCAAATATGTAATAGGCCTTAATGATAATACGTAGAGCGATATCACAAGGTTTCTACTAACAAAGCAAATCCATACCTAACGCTTATGGTATAGTAACTATATAAGAATATTGTTACCTTATTACATTTGATTATTTGTGAATTGTTGAACATTTTCGTACTGCAATTATCCATAAACAGGAACATGAAGATGGATGGTCATAGGTGCAATTTCAATAAAACATCTGATGGTGCTTATAAGTTTTACATTTTCAAGACATTTACAACTATGAGGCAATTTTCGAATTATATTTTTTTATACTACGGTAGTCTAGTATCTGATGATAAGCTGTTTTTGAATTTTTTTTAATAATCCGAGGTTTTGATACATAAATACCAAAAATATGGAAGGTGTTAATACCTTCTCAGCCTCCTCCCCTAATTGTGCCTGTCCGTCAGGCTAAATAATAATTTAAATATTATTTTATATTTATATGTTATAATAACGTACAAAATTATGTATATTCTCTGTTCAAAATAAGAATAGTAGACAGCGGCAAAGGGTGATAGCCACGCCCATTATTCTTCCTCCCGTTGCTCTCGCGGCCGGCAGAGCCAGTGCTTCGCGGCCACGCCCATGCGCACAAATCGGCCGCCGTCTACTATTCTTATTGTAAACAGCGTAAAGTTGTTTAGATTGAATTACAAATACAGTAACAAGCTGTATCAATTAACATAATTTATCTTTCAACAGACCAACATTATAAAACTTCAAGTTCTACTGAAAGTTATATGGTATCACTTTGTAAGTATATATTATAGTTATTTATATATTGTGTGATATATAGTATGGTTTTCGTGGGAGAATGCGAAAGCAATCACGAAACCRTGACGTAGTCGGTTCAAAAATGAAAAAAAATTATAAATCATAGTTATAGATTGTTAAATATGTATTACAATAGTCAATAGATAATCCAAGTATAAAAATACGCAACATATATATTATAATCAAATATGTATTATGATAACACATATTAGGGCAATCGTTAGATTGTCACAATGAATATTGAAACTCAATGGCTATAACATGGTTATAAATGTTATAATATTACTTTTGATTAATTGAAAAGAACCCTATTTATGTATATAAATATAATTATGCATAGAGAGCTAGCCATGAAATC